AAACTTGAGGGTTGTTTTAAGATGTTAAGCCCTTGTTTGGCAGTCTGTTCACTTGAGACGTTCAAATAAGTCCCAGCTGCGTCTGGGAAGAAGTATGGTAGGTATGATTTTTTTTTTTTTTTTTTTTTTTTTTTTTTAGATATATACAAGAGTTGTTACATTCTTGTACAGCCACTAGTACGCGTAGCGTTTCGGGCAGGTCCCTGGAATACGATCCCCTGCCGCGAAGAATCGTTATGATAGAGCCCAATAGGCTCAGTAATCTGTACGCCAGTTGAGTGACGGCCGAGAGGCTGGACCAAAGAGCCGAAGCTCAATCCCCGCAAGCAAAATTAGGCGAGTACTAGCAGCGTGTGATGGATGGTGTGGAGGAGGCCCGGGCGACCCCCAGAACCACTCTAGGGGTCGCCCGCCCCCAGAACCACTTACAGGAGATCGCTGTAGCTAAGCTCAGCAGCGTATACGGAGATGAGCAGCTAGGGAGTGGGAGGAAGCAGGTGGGGAACCGCGGAGGTTTGTAGGTTGTGTGGAGGTGGGGAAGGTGGGGGGGGGGGGTTGCAGGCGGTAGAGAGAACATTTCAAGGCTAATAAGTGGGTGACAAAACTCTACGGGAACCTGAGGAAGGATTTACATACAATAATTGTCACTTCGACAACCCCCACTTTGAGTAATTGTGTAGCCAATTTGCGTGAATGACCAACAATGCACATTAGAAATAAAACTAATTACAGTAAGCACAATATGTAAAACAGTTCCTATATAATCAAACAGTATAAACGAGTCCACAATGTGATAACACCACAAACCACAACACTAGCTGTAACCTACCTTGCCGCAGTGGGAGTCCCCGTGGCGCAGTGGTAAAGCACTCGCCCGGTACTTCGCCAGCGCTTTGGTCTGGGTTTGTATCCTGGCCGGGGAGGATTGACTGGGCATCAATCCTTAACAGTAGCCTCTATTCACCCAGCAGTGAATAGGTACCTGTTGTTAAACGATTTGGTGGGGTCGTATTCCGAGGAAAATTAGGATTAAGGACTTGCCCGAAACGTTGCTGTTGTTGTTTTAGATTCAGCTACTGGGAACCAAAAGTTCAAAGTAGCACGGGCTATGGTGAACTCGTAATGAACTTACCTGGCACAGGAGCGGGGCTGTGACTGTGATGCTAAGCTATGTAGATACCGTTCCACAACCTCTCACATAATGGGTATGGCGTCTACTACCTCTCACATTATAGGTATGGTGTCCACTACCGCCAGTCATAATGGCTAGGCACTTTCTCCTGATAGTTAGTTCCCTTCCCCTCCTACAACTTGGATTATCGTATCCAAGCATGGAGACCTCATCTTCAGAAAGACATAACAGCTTTGGAGAAAGTTCGACACCGGGCGACTAAAATCAGTTTTGAACCAAGTCGACTTTCCCACCAGGGTCGGTTGAAGAGTCGACTTTCCCACCAGGGTCGGTTGAAGAGTCGACTTTCCCACCAGAATCGGTTGAGGGCTAGAGGCCTAACAACACTGCAAACCAGACACGACAGGCTTGATCTCCTCTACACTTTTAAAATACTTAAAAATTTGGAGGATGTTGATCCAGACAACTTCTTCGAAAGGTCAGATGTAACGCAAACAAGGAGCAACGGTTTCAACCTCAACAAGCTACAATGAAGGAGGGAAAACAGGAGATGCTTATTCGCCCATAGAGTTATAAACCCATGGAACTGCCTACCCGCCGAAGCCGTAAAGGCCAAAACGCTGCCAAATTTCAAAATTCAGTTCGACAGAATTATCAAGACAAATGGGGGGAGCTTCGACAAGCCGCGGGCTTCCTGTCCTCGTCGAGGCCACTAGAGATATAGTGGCCCTTAGGTAAATTCATGTAAATGTGACTTTTTAAAGAAGTGATCTGGATTAATAGCCTCCATTTCGTTCAGCCATTTAAAAGTCTAAATGAGATCCGTCCTGTCAATAGATATGGTTTTATCTATTCAAAATATTGCATAGGGGTTTATTACAATATCTTCATACAACAGTAAATGCAGTATATAGCTTACGGTGAGGAAGGCTCACGCAGGCCCCTCCCACCCATTTGTGCAACCCGTCCTCAGACTAAATCTATTCCATCCAGCGGTCGACCCCACAGACACATTCATCTTGCTGTTCATTCAAAATAGGAATTTTCTCAAATATAAATTAATTTTGTTATATAAGATAAGTTTATTCAGGTAAAGGTACATACATTGAAAATGAGTTTCAAACATAATGTTGGATTAATAGATAGAGCTAGCACATACATTGCCAATGACATATATAAGCATAGTGTGCATATTTAGGCAATGGTTAGGTTACGCTAGGTGTTTAAGTTCTGTTGGCGATTATTTGTATTTGTAGTCAGCAACTTGTCCTCAACTCTAGTCCATTACATCCAGCGGTCGACCCCACAGACGCATTTATAAATTTTTATATGCTGTTCATTCAAAACAGGAATTTTCTCAAATATAAAATATTAACATATTATGCATATATAGGCATAGGTTAGGTGTTTAGGTTCTAGTGGCGATTATTTGTATTTGTAGTACGTGGGTGAAGCATTTACAGCGTTGTGGTTCGAACAAAATTCGTCAGTGAAGCACTTGTTCCGGAAGTGTTCGAAAGAAATCAGTTGCGAGTCGTGTGGAAACCGTTTTTCATTCATAAACAGGGGGTTTGGCGGGTGCATGGAATCACTTTTCGGTCATTGTTTGGAGGACGGGCTGGTAGTCAGCCCGTCCTCGCATACAAAGATCCAAGCTCGTTAATCCAGCTGCCAAACCCCCTGATTATGAATGACAAGCGGTTTACACACGACTCACAATTGATGACGTTCAAACACTTCCTGAACAAATGCGTAGCTCACTTCCTCTGTTCGAACCACAATTCTGTAAACAGCCCGTCCTCCAAACAAAGATCCAAATTCTATGCACCCGCCAAACCCCGTGTTTATGAATGAAAAACGGTTTACACACAACTCACAACTGATTTCTCTCGAACACTTCCGGAACAAGTGCTTCACTGACGAATTTTGTTCGAACTACAACGCTGTGACTGCTTCACCCACGTACTACAAATACAAATAATCGCCACTAGAACCTAAACACCTAACCTATGCCTAAATATGCACAATATGCTAATATATTATAATATTAATTTATAGTGGAGAAAATTCGAGTTTTGAATGAACAGCATGTTAAAATTTATGAATGCGTCTGTGGGGGTCGACCGCTGGGTGGAATGTACTTGGTCTGAGGACGGGTTGCATAAACAGGGGGTTTGATGAGTGCATGGAATGGACTTTGGCCTTTGTTTATGAGGAGGGCTGCAGTCGCCGTGGCGCCCACACACAGCACCGCTCCTGTGCCAGGTAAGTTCACTACGGGCTCACCATAGCCCGTGCTACTTGGGACTTGTTCCGAGTAGCTGAATCTATAACAACAACTCCGTGGCGCAGGACTCTTGGTTTAACCTTGACGAGCGGACGTCTGGACATCTCCGCCTGGGGGCCGTCGAATCACGTTCCGTTTCGCGATTTTACCATAAGGGTTTTGATACTGCCGTTTGGCATACCTTTCCAACAGTCCGGATTGTTACGATGTTACGATGATACTTGGCACATATGTTGCCAAGGGTCACAGGAAAGTTGATAATTTTGAACGGCTGGTTCTTCGGTGGGGAGTCCGGCGCCGGCTTGCCCGAGAGGTGCCGGGAGTCGGCGGGCTCGTGGTGTGCCCTCAGACGGAGTGGGGGCTGGCTTCTGCCTGTCGGGGAGCATTGGATGACTTTTTGCGTTTTAGATGGAGCCAGAGTTTTTTGCTTTGCTACCTGGTGTTCTTTGTGTGGGGTGAGGCCGGTGCTTGTCTCTCTATAGGGACTCCTATAGCTGGGGTTCCCCAATCTGCCCAATTTCAATTTCTTTCTTTATTATGCATCCCCATATACCCGTCCCGTGGGTGGTGGTGGAAAGGGTTACAGGGCACGTAATCGCTTCAGGAACTGAACCCCTAGCAAATTACAATCTTTTTAACCATCAATGTGTTTATTCGCCGCTAGGCACATTTGTTTCCGCCAACCGGCGAAGTTCATTTGCCCATTAAGCTTTGCCCTTTTAAGGGAACGCCAGGTTGTATCAGATCCCTAGATTGTCGTCGCCCCTAAACCGACAACCGGTACAATGGTAACACGTACTCGCCCACCACTTCGCAAGCAATTTGTCCCGGGTTCCTATCCTGGCCGAGAAGGATTGATTAGGCGCTAGTCCTTTATCTGAATGCCTCTGTTCACCCAGTTGTGATTGGGTTAAGCGATTGGCGGGTCTTATTCCAGGGGAAAAGTAGAAGGTATGGCTTACCATGAACTATGGGAAGGATCGCAATTTGATAGTTTTAATGTACACTGTTATGCCCCATATATGTAATAGTCTTGCATTTTCAGTATTAAGCATTTGCCAGTCTTCTGACATGTTGTGGAGTTCTTTGTACGGTCTCGCGTTCTCCGCACAGTGTGTGTGTGTAACTTTTATATATACAGTATACCTACGTAAAAATACGTCTGAAATCTTATCGATAACACTTAAAAAAACAAAAACATCTCCACACCTATATTTATTAAATTTATAGGCTAAATCCTGGTTAAATTTATTAGATACAAGGTTCCTTTTCAAGCTTGGCCTTTACAAATTAACATTTACCTGAGGGCCTCTAACCGTATAATGGCCTCGACGAGGACAGGAAGCCGGCGGCTTGTCGAAGATCCCACCCCCTTATTTGCCTTTTATCTTTTCCATGTAGATTTCACATTGTTATAAGAAATGTTAACTTTAAAGAAAAGTCACATTCTCTACCTAGTAACCGATTGTGAATGTACATCAGGTGTGATATGAGGTATCGCACGTAATGTTCCCGCTTGTTGTTCGAACTGACGTACTTAAACTTTTAGTCCAATGAGGTGGCAGGACGAGAGTCACGTGACCACGGCTCCCGAACAGCTGAAAGTGTTGTGTTTACTTCTTGAGTGATCGAGACGACGTTTGTTGGTGCTCGCGATAACACCTTCCAAGTCGCCCTTGAGAGGATTAACCCGGAGTGACTAGAGTGCTTCATAGAGCACAGAGACTGGCGTGAGTGAGCATGTCGGGTGCTGGGAGCGGAGAACGCGAGGGCAGGAGCAGCCGCCGCCCCAGCCCCCTGAGAGCCACCGTGCCCGTGCAGGTACCAACCTTAAGAGTGCCACTTTGGGTACTGGCACAGGTCACGCTGGGTCCCAGTTGGGGCAAAGTTAGCGTCCCGCTTTGGGTACTGGCACAGTCATGCAGGTCACACTGGATCCCAGTCGGGGGGAGAGTGCCACCCAGGGTAGTGACACAGGCCACTTTGGATCCTTTTCGAGGCATCCTTAAAGTGCCACCCTGAGTACTGGCATTGGCCATGCAGGCCACTCTAGGTCCTAGCCCGAGTCTCGTCTGGACGACACACACACACACACACACACACGAATGTTACCAAATCTCTCATGTGATGACCTATGCCAGAATAGGCCTATGGCATACCACAACTCGCCTAATGGTATATCAAGGCTTTGTACAACCTCTCCATATTTAGATATAAAGTTATATTTCTTATCCAGGGTAGGTTGTTTCATTCAGAAAAATTTAATACAATTTTGATTATTTCACTCGCTGCATGTTGATCACCGATTCATTTCCTTAAGCGAGTGGTTAATTTACTTTAGATATTCACTAAAACATGAAAATTGGGTGAAGGTATTCTCTATGAGCTCTAGCATTTTTATTAACATCACTATCTTTCGTGAATGCTTTTATTAATTTTATGATGTTATTTTAATAAAGTTGATATGTATTTTTCTTGGCTTATGAAGGAAATATTGATTTAACAGTGAAATACCATTGGAGGTGCAGTTTCAATAAAATTTGAGGGCAAAAAACATATGCTAGTGAGCAAAAGATGATTGTATGATTAAAATTATTAGAACTTATGAGATAGATACTGTGTATTATAATATCCTGTAGGGGAAATATATTTCTGCAAAGATTTGCCAAGAGTGTGTGAGATTCTCTTTACTGTATTAGAATGCAAATTGATATTACAATGTCATTATCAAAATGGCATTTATACACTGTATTGTAAAGTACTCGGCAGGCAACAAATTGAACGGTTGTTATTTATTCAATAATTATATAAATAATATGGGATTACAATATTAATGGTCGCTCTGAATGTTTGCGGTTAATGTGGCTCGCAAAACAAATTCAGCTGCTTAACCAATTTCAAGGGCATCAGACCAGTCCGTTATTTTCTAGTACAGTACTGTACTGTATTTTGAATTTATAAAATTCTTATTACACAAATGTAGAACATTCATTGCACAAGTTATGCTTATATAAAAGTTTATAATATTAATAAGCATCACCACTTTATACTGATGCAGTAATTATATGGAAATTAAATCATTACTACATGTCTATCATTACATAATTTTTATTTGATATTGACTATTCCACTCCTACCTTTGATTTTATGACAAATTCTTTTAGTTATAGGACCTGCTGAAAACACTTTGGCGTTGCCTGAATCTTCCTCTTAATTGCCAATGTATTCAAATTCAAAATTTTTTATTCAGGTAAAAGTACATACAGTACATAGATGAAGAGTTACAAACAATGTTGGATATATGGATGTATGTTGTACCTAATAGACCAAGTTGCCTAACAAGCCAAGTTTTCTTGAAATTATATATTTAACTCATTTCTTCTTATGGAATCAATAAAATTTTCCATTCTATTATATGATTTTTCTTTTGTTTAATTTGAGTTAAAACTAACATAGAAATTTAATGAAACCTAACCTATCCTGTTTGAACTTGTCAGTAATTCATGCTCTTAATATAATAATATTTCAAATAAATCAATTTGAAAAGAGTTTTAAAAATGGAAATCACTCTGCCTGTTGGGCAAATTGGGGTTGCATACCAAGTAGTGTATTCTTGCTATGTGGCACGATATTTTATTTATATAAATATTTAATAGAAATATTACTTCCTGAACAAAGGCACCTCTTTGATATGCTAGCTTGCTAGTATTTGAGTACAGCACTTTCCTAGGTGTGCTAAAGAATTAAGCTCCAAATCCAGGACCCATTTCTGGGAAAAAGTTTTACAAATATTTATCACTTTTAGGTACATATGATAAGTTAATTGTATTTTTTTTTTATTTAGAATTTTGTTTATTAATTTCAGATGTATAATTTCTGAAATTTAGGCTGATAGTAGGCACCTAGGAAAGGTAATATAGCAATTGCTCTCTGATTGGGATCTCGGTAATATGGTGTGACGGGTTGTGGTATCGCAGCTATACTGAACCAAGATAGTGTGGCTCTCACACGCATAAATAAAAAAAAAAAAATGCTGCTATTGACCTTGCAGTGTGTAAGTCGCAGGTGGAAAATGAAAATCATCAAATAAATAATTAAACAATTTACTGAAATATTAATGAACATAAATGCCCCTGAAAATACTTGGCTATCATGTAATGCAAAGGTGAACAAGTTAATATGACATTAATACAAAAATAAACTATAAGCAATGAATACAAATCATAAATATATACACTGGTGTACTGAAGACAGCTACCATACCACCATGACATCAGTCACACAACATTGGCTGAAGGCGGACGACGGGCGAGAGACACGAAGGTGATCCTACAGCAGTAAGGGAGAGAGAGGCTCTCCAGGGAGGCAGCGCCCTTTATATAGTCCGGTGGTGATGACTGTTTATGGGGGCAAACTACCGGTTAGTAGTGGCGCCCGGCTTGCCTCCGAGTCGTACCAGGCCATTCCAGGCCCTGGGGGATGTGGAGAGGTGGCAGGACTGATGACTCATCTGGGCTGGTGTAGACTTCCAGTGTAGAGGCATTGAAAGTGAAGGGAAAGGGCAGTTCCACTGGTATTCAGGGGATTCACGTGACAATGGAAAAATAGGTAATTTGGTCAGAATTGGGGCAAAATATTAGTATCATGATGTACTGTAGACAATCTAAATTGCTGAGTTTTTGCTGTCTGTTTACTGAATGACACACCATAATCCCTAAATGGGGATAGAAATGAAGAAGACAAATTCTTTTTTCTACAAAGTGTTAGGGGCTGGAAAGCTAGTGAAATGGTACATAAAAACAAATAAAAAAAAATCATTAGAGGAAGGGAAGTAAAGAACAAAGGGAAGGAGAACATGTTCCTGAAAATAAGATATACCAACATAGATGGAATGAGATAAAAAAATATTGGAGCTGAAAGATATAATTCAGCTTGAGGTACCGGATATTGTCGCATTAACAGAGATGAAACGTGAAGAAAATATTTTAAATGAGGTTGTATTCCTAAAGGTCTACTCAGTTTGGAGACGTGACAGGAAAACTAGGAAAGGGGAAGGAGTAGCTGTGCTGATGACAGAACACCTGAAGGTAAGAGAGAGTTACTACTTGACAACCCTTGGGAAGTTGACATAATGGCATTGCAGGTCTGGAATTAGGATGATACACTGATAACTGTAAATGCCTACAGCCCACCAGCAAGCAACACATGGACTAAGGAAGAACTGGATGTCAAACGAGAGGGCCTCATAATGGTCACGAGAGAGATTATAGTACTGTTCAAGCAGATAAAGATAAATCACGATTGTTGGTACTAGGGGACTTCAACTTTAAAGCAATAACCTGGGAGGCCTATGAAGCAAGAATGGAGGACATTTGGACAGGCAGATTTGTAAACCTCATTCTAGAGACATTCGTGTATCAACATGTGAAGCAGCCCACAAGAATGAGGGCAGGGGATGTTCTGTCAGTACTGGATCTAATATTCACCAGGAAAGAAGAGGAGATCTTTGACATCCCATACCTTCCTCCCTTGGGATGAGTGATCATGTCCTGTTGGACATTAAATATGCTTTGAGATATAATCTAGAAATTGGGGACATTGAAACAGTTATTAATCTCTATTTCAAGAGAGGACACTATGGGGAACTTAGAATTTTTTTAATGAGTGTAACTGGACAGACTTGTTGCTAGGCAAGAAAGTAAATGAGATGTATGCCAAATTCTGCAAAATATACGATGAAGGCACACAAATGTACATACCAAAACATAGATGCATGACCAGAAAACAGGATTGGTTCAGCAGTCATTGCGAGAGGGCCAGAGACCAAAAGACTCAAAAATGGAATCAATATAGGAAGAGGCCAAACCCCCGAACATTCCAGTGATACAAAGATGCGAGAAACAACTACACGGCAGTGAGGAGAGGCAGAAAGAAATTTTGAAAAGGGATAGCGGGCAAATGTAAAACAGAACCAGGCCTATTCTGTAAATTCATAGACAAATTGCAGGTAAAGGATAATGTTCAGAGGTTGAAAATGGGAAGCAGATTCACGGAAAATGAAAAGGAAATGTGTAAAACATTAAACGAAAAGTTCCAAAGTATGTTTGTATGAAATGAAATCTTCAGGGAACCAGACACAATAAGAATTCCAGAGAACAACATAGAGCACATAGAGGTGTCTAGAGAGACGGTGGAAAAAATGTTCAAGGAGCTAGGTAAGAACTAAGCAGTTGGCCCAGGTGGAGTTTCACCATGAGTTCTGAGAGAATATGCACCCAAACTTAGCATTCCACTTCAACTAATTTTTCAGGCATTCCTGTGTACAGGATTCGTAGCAGATGTGTGGAAAAAGGCTAACATAGTTCCAATCTACAAAAGTGGTGGCAGGAAAGACCCCATCAATTATAGACCTGTATCGTTGACAAGTGTAATAGTCAAAATATTGGAAAATTAATGAAAACAAAATGGGTAGAACACCTGGAGAAAAACTATATAATATCAGACTGTTGGTATGGTTTTCGATCTGGAAGCTCCTGTGTGATGAATTTACCCAGTTTCTATGATCGAGCCACAGAGATTTTACAGGAGAGAGATGGTTAGGTTGACTGCATCTATCTGGACCTAAAAAAAAAAAGGCTTTCGACAGAGTTCCACATAAGTGGTTGTTCCGGAAATTGGACCACATTGGAGGCATGATACATAAGCTTCTAACATGGATGAAATGTTTTCTGACAGAAAAATGAGGGCAGTAATAAAAGGAAGTGTATCGGACTGGAGAAATGTCACAAATGGAGAACCACAGGGTTCAGTTCTTGCACTGG